TTGTGCTTAACGGGTGTCTATATTAGATGTTTTTGTATTTTGAACATATGAGTTTTGGATCAATGGGCTTCTGGTTCAAGATCGATAAATCTCGAGATGTCTGTTGATTGGTTTCATAGTTTCAACCCGCTGAATACGCTATTAGATAGAAATAAGTATCGAATAATGAGCATTTCACAAGTTTCTCGCGTTTAACGATAATTTTTCCTCTTTCGGGGCTAGTAACTCGAGAAAAGAATTCTTTTTTTTAATTTTGGCAAGACAGATCTCTTCGGAATTTATTCAGGATCAATCTCATCCATTGGATGTCGATGATCGGTTGGAAATTCTCTCAGCTCTCTAGAAAATTTTCAACCAAAGAATCTGTCATCTGGCTTCATCGTCGCGCCGGAACCGAGCATCTGCTGGAGATGAAGAGCCAGGCGGAACACGGCCCGTTACGCGCCGTTGCGCCGGCGGTGGCGTTGCGCTTCCGAATTTCAAATGTTGCACACGCCACGCGGAATGGACATTTATTTGCGGCGATGTTCGTGCGCGGAGTGGCGCGACAGTGAAAATACACCGCGGATTTTCTCGCGTTGACACACGTCGACGCCGACGCGCTCGCTCCCGTCGATCTCGCGCGACGACGCAATTGATATTATATCAGGAATACACCAAGTTGCTGTAATGTTGCGAGTTGCTTGTATCGTCCTCTCGTGCACTCCGTCGGCTTTTACCGTAGCCTTTGTTGGCCTCTCCCTTGGCCGCAGAAGCGATTGTTCAAGCGCAACTGACACGCACCTTGACACGAACGATGCGACGCGGTGGCGTCCGAGTGTTGGGTGTTAACCCAAGTGAAATTCCGGTCTCGATCGAGTCTCCGACTCGATTGATTGCGCGCTGATTAACGATTAACTTCGCCGATCGATCTCAAGTCGTTCGCGATTGCATCACACGCGGAATGTGCCGGTCAACGAAGATCGATTAATTCCGCCGACGCTGGCGGAATCCGCGCATGTGTTCGCTCTGAAATCAATATTTCTGATATAACGCTCGGTATTATTCCGCGGGCAGAAGACGGGGGGGGGGGCGAGGGGAGAAGTGTTCGTGGAAAAGGTTCGTGCAGAACGAAGAGAAAAGAGAGAGAGAGAGAGAGAGAGAGAGAGAGAGAGAGAGAGAGAGACAAGCACCGCGATAAAAACTTAAACGCCCGGAGTCGATCGATCGCTTCGCTTCTCCTACGCGAATTTAATCCCGCCGCGAATTAATTGCGACTTAACGAACAATTCGCGCGCGCGGTTATATCGACCGTCGCACGAAAAACAGGACTTCCCTCGCGCGGCGCGGCGAAGCGACGCGGCGTTTTCGCGTAAAGTCGCGCGTCTAACAACAGACGCAGTTCGACGCGCCGCTACAATAACGTCATTATACACATCACCGTGTTTATGCGAACGCGAAAGCAACGTCGCGGAACGTTCCGCGTGAAAAACAAGCGGCACGCACACACATTCTTTTAACGCGGCGCCTCGATAATCAAATGCGCGTTTAACACGTCGCGAGGCTCGACACGACGTTTCTCTTTAACTCGTTTTATCCGCGTTTCTTCATTCTCCTCCCCGCCCCCCCCCCTTCCGTCCTCCTCGTGCTATGTGTTTTTACGAGGCACGAAGACTGGGAGCGCAGTCTCTCGTCGTCGAGACCGCGTCAGAATGGCGGGCGAGGCCGGGCAGGGAAGAAAAATGTACATGTTACGGTAAATATTTGCGCGCCCGCTATTCTTCGTGCTGCCCCCGCTGCTCCTCGTGTGCATCGCGACTCTTTACGTCTCCTACAGTCGCGGAATGTGCGTTAGTCGGAGCGACGATAAGCCCGCATTCCATCGCGCTCTGAGCCGCGAAGGTATCAGCATTCCGCGGCCGCTCGAGAAGATAGCGCCTATCTCGAGCGCGGGCTCGAAAGTCTCTCTCGAGGGAGGGAGAAAAAACAGTAGAGAAAAAAAGACGGACGCGCAAATACACACACACACACACACCAACACACGCACGCGCGCGCGTGCAAAGGAATGCGCGCTCGTGCGCCCGACACGCGCACTCGCGATAAAATCTCGAAGCGGCGAGGGCGAGAGAGAGAGAGAGAGAGATAGAACAAGTGAGGAAGAGGAGGTCGAGCGTATAAAGTAATTGGATAAGCGTATTTTCCGGCGCGAGCGTGCAGGACACCTCCGCGAAACGTCTCGCCTAAACGTTTGCACGGGCCAACGGCGCCGTAAAATCCGCCGGTCGTGCGCGCGCGCGAGCGCACACATACACACACACACACACACACACACGCGCGATGAATTCCCGCCGGTATAATGTTCTTCAGGCGGAATATATTTTGTCGAAATACTTCATGCCGGAGTGCCGGGAAAGCGCGCGTCGGCGCGCGCTCGTATCTTCGCGCGAACTCACAATGGCCGCAGTTGCGAATCCAAATTTGGCACTGGGCTCGCGGATTAACACGTAGCGCGGCCGGAAGATTGGCACGTCGGGCTCATGTGTGTGTGGGTGGGTAGGTGGGTGGGTGTGTGCGGCGAATTGCCGGCGCGAAGAAGAAGCGAGGAGCACGTTTCGCTCCCGGAGCGCTCTTCTTCGGGCAGAATTTACTACGACGGGAGAGAGCGAGAGAGAGAGAGAGAGAGAGAGAGCGAGAGCGAGAGAGAGCTCGCGATCTTCGCTCCCGCTGCGAATGGATGTAACTATTTGTTCATAACTGCGTTTGGCGCCAAGTCAAGTGTCATTAGCGCGGCCATTCGGGCTAAACGATTTTCCGAAAGTCGTCGGCGAGTGTCGTCAACCCGAGTTCGCTTCGAAGTTACTGTGCGCGAAATCTCGGTGAACGCCATACGGTTACGCGGATAGCGTAACCCCCTGGCCCCTTCGTGCTCCTTGGCGCTCTCAAGTCGACGGGGATCAAGGCGTCACTTCCTGATCACTCGAATGCCGCTGGTCTCTAAATACGAACGAGCTGCGGGAGGCGCGTATGTATCTTCGAGCGCGGCCGCGGAACAACAAAACGCACGACGTTTCCGCCTCGCGGCGCTGCTGGCCGCTTTAATCGTTACTCCCTGCTTTTTCACACCGCCAACGTTCACGCAGCGTGCGTTTAAATTAGCTCACTAATGAGAACAGAATTCATGTTAATATCGCAGCGCTCATTATATGAGCTGCTTATAATTTCACCAATAATGGAAAACGCGATCTGATTTATTAATGAAAAACTGTTCGTTAGCGGCTGTGTTACATCGCTTCAAACGTAAGCAAATAGTTGCGAGTATTATTGGTAATTAGGAGTGTTTTGTACAGCCCGGAAATTACGCGACCCGCATGTCTGTATGTGTACACGTATGTGTGTGTGTGCGTATGCACTTTGTAGCGGGAACTCGGTCGCTCCGCGAGTTACGACGATGACGGTTTGACGGGGGCTTCGCGGTCGTTCTATTACCACATCGGCGAAAGAAGCTGATCCGGTCCACGCTAACGACCCTCAACTCGTACAAATCGGTCGAGCTGACGAAGCAATCGATGCCGACGCGCGATGTACACCGCGGCGGCGCGAGATGCTTCTTTCACAGCGAGTAATCTCGCCGTGCACGTCGCGCGCTCGCAATCGCAAGCGCTTATCAACTTCGAAACATGCTGCCATTGTCCGCGCTTACATTATCGGGGAGGAGAAGCCGTAAGTTTTCGCGCGACGGCGCGCCCGCAAAGTTGGCCGATAGCGACGAAAATTTCGAAGACGGCTTTGCCCCCCTCCCCCTCTGCTCCCCCCCGCCCTCCGGCGAGGCTTCCCTAAAATAGCTAATTAAATTAACGAAGTAGAGTATCCCGCGTTCCGCGCCGCGCCGCCCACGTCGTTCGCGCGGAGGGGGGGGGGGGAGGGGGCGAGGAAACTTCGCGATTACGTATTCGTAAACTCTCCGCGCAATTGCTCGCTAAGTCGAGCAACAAATATTGCTCGCCGATGCGGGATTACATCTCCATGATGTTACTCTCTTGCAAAAATATCCTCTCTCTCTCTCTCTCTCTCTCTCTCTCTCTCTCCCCGCCCCTCCCTTTCTCGCGAACGAGCGAGCGATGAATGCTCATTGCTTTCGCACGAGATCGCGAGAAAGATTGCTTTTCATTTAGTGACACAAGTCGATACAAGCTTCATCCAATCTTTGTCGCTCGTTGAATAGAAGAAAGACAGAATGACGCTTGTGTGTCGACTTGTATCGGTCGAAGAATCGCGCCTCGCGACGCACCCGATGAATTCACAAACTCTCGGGGCTGAAACTCTCGGCAATACCGAGCAAAAAGAAAAAAGAAAAAAAAAGAAAGAGAGAAAGAGAGAATGAGAGAATTTGAGCGTGCCGACTGCTGATTTTAGGATCGTCGGAGATACAGCCGATTATATCTCCGGTTCTGCCGCGCGTCTGACGCGCGTCAGCGTTTTATTCCGAGAAACCGCCGTCGGCGACGTTAATTCCCGATCAATTTCAATTACGGACGACATGCACGTGGATCGCGCGGCGGAAACGTCGTACGTGCGCGGGCACCGTGATCGGCCAGCAGGCGCACGGTAATTACAGGAAACACCGAGTAAACCATTCCGTCTGCGGGACGGTAACACGCATCGACGGCTCCTTTTCGATGGCCGGTAATCGCCGTTTCATTACGCATCTCCCGTCGAAATTAATAATGATCGTATCCGGTAGCCGCACAGCGCGCAATAGAAATCGAGCGAGTAGCGTCGAGCGAGTGCGCGCGCTCGCGAATATGCGAGAGAGAAGGAGAGAGAGGGAGAGAGGGGGAGAGAGAGAGAGAGAGAGAGAGAGAGAGAGAGAGAGAGAGAGAGAGAGAGAGAGAGAGAGAGAGAGAGAGAGAGAGAGAGAGAGAGAGAGAGGCCAACGGTCGAACGGACAGGGCTGGGGGCGGAGGAGGGTTCGAGAGGAGGCCAAGAGGGGTGACATTAATTCAACAGGTTCTCTCTCTTACCTGTCCAGCTGGCGATCCGCGCGCTCTCCGCGGCCCTCTCGTCCTTCCAGCCGTTCCGTCTCGATTCTTTTCCGTCGCCCACCTGCTCCCGATCGCTCCGCGACTCGCCAAACGACGTGCCTGGAATAAATTATTATCACGTTACACGATCTGTCCTTGCACTTTTCGCTCCGCTCGTCGTCGTCGTCGTCGTCCTCGTCGTCGTCTAAGTTGCCGCGCGCAGAGGCGGCTACGACGACGATTTAATTAAACGATCAGCCGCTGCTGTCGATCGCGCGTAGGAAAGCGCGCGCGCGCGCGCGCGATCGACGACGTCGTCTTGGCGGCGGGTGCGGATGAACTTATCGCCTGTTACCGCACTGACGCGAAAGAAAAAGAGACGAACGGCGCCAGCGCGGTTACGGTATTACGTTCGTAATTCTGCGCGGTGAATTTATCATCGACGCCCGAGACGAGGTCGGAGATCTGTCGTAAAGGGGTCGAAGGCTTCGCAGCTGGCTGACGTCGTTTGCTGAAGCGTTGCGCGGGGTGCTCCGAAACGGAGAGGGCGCGCAAAGAGATGAGTCGCCGGGAGAGGTGTTTGGTATGTTTTTGTGAGCGGAGTCGCTCACAGAAGTGAGAGAATTGCAGTCAGGAGAGAACTATGTTTGTGAAAAGTTTTGTCGTAATAAATGTCTGTGCATATCGCAATTGCTACTCTTTGTTAAAACAACGAGAAGATACGGGACGGTATCGCGAGTCTACACGGAGAGCGAGAGAGAGAGAGAGAGAGAGAGAGAGAGAGAATTCTGCAGCAAAAAATGCTCCGAAGTGTCCCTCAACATTTTGTCCCAATTTATTGTCTTTTTCGTTCATATACCCGGTAGCATTTATACCGTAACCGATTGAAATTTACTACAAAAAATTGTTTATGAAAAGTATATTAAAAACCGTTTATTAAAACACACTGCAGGATGAACCCTACGGATAAAGTCAAGACACACTACATTACTGAGAAAACGGTGAAAATGAGAGAAGCGAGTTAATGTAGAGAAATAAAGACCACAATATTCTCCCTAACCTGTGTGCATAATTTTGGTAATGTGAACCATTCTCTCTCTCTCTCTCTCTCTCTCTCTCTCTCTCTCTCTCTCTCTCTCTCTCTCTCTCTCTCTCTCTCTCTCGGTGAATCAAACAAGCCGTCGGAGTAAGTTGTTTCATTCACAGCATTTCTTTCTTCACGAAGTGAACTTCGACGCACCATCGACGAGTGCTGCCTCTCGCGACGGAAGCAGACAGAAGAAAGAAGGGGGGACACGCAGTGTGTACAGCAAAACGTCGGAACATTGAATTTCGTTGTTAAATATTGAAATCAAGCGAATTACCACCTGCCCGCGTGGGAACGGTAATTCTTGCCGGCCGGGAAGTAAAGTGGACGATACACATCTCGCGGAAACATTCAACGTTTCAGCAGCGGTGTAATCGCACGTTTTTCACGGTACAATCGCGCTGTTTCAAAGTTGCTGTAATTAAAAAGCAACGTGGACGCGACCGGGGGCTTATAACCCACTGCGGTAACTTTACGCAGGCACCGCGCGGCGCGCAGTCCGTCGCTTACTCGTATGACTTACGAAAAAACGTATGAACGCGCGGAACAGTTTCGCAACTTCTTGTGCTTCGCCGCCCGCAACAAAAGAGTTTCGCGCTTTCGTTTGCGCGGCGGCTTTCAACGGCGAGCCACCTCTCTCTCCGTGCATTTACGTATAAACGGGGACGTTGCGCGCGCGCGCGCGTGTGGCCACGGACTCGGCGCTGGTTTAGATTCATTACTCGCCGCGGTGTCCTCTCTCCCTCTCTCCATCCATCTCTTTCACTCTCTCTCTCTCTCACGCTCTAGAGAGAGAGCTGGAAAAAAAAAATTACAAAAACCACCGACTTATCGCCGGCGACGATGGGATCGACGCAGGTTCCGGCTTGGAATGTCGAGGCGATACCGATACAGCAGACTGAAGATCTTACCTCGATGAGGAAAATTATCTGTCCCAAGCGGCCAAATTTGCGGACGATTCAAGAGAGAGAGAGAGAAAGAGAGAGAGGGAGGGGAGGGACGTTTTCAATTTCGTGCTTCGACATCGATCAATAGAGACTTCGCGTGTACACCGTATGCATCATTTCTCGTGCACTTCGCCGGGAACGTATTCGCCTAAGAGAATAACACGTAGGGTCAATATATCGCGCGTTAAATCGCCACGAATGCAGTCGAAGCGGTTGAAATCGCTGCAACAGACGGACGGACAGACGTTCATACATACGTACACGTACACACACACACACACACACACACACACACACGTGTGGGCTGCATTTCCGTCTTGGCAGAGAGAACGAGACTGAGATTTATCGCGGAGCTCTTACGCGGTGGAGCAGCTGGAATTATGCAGCGTCTCCCCTCGAGTCATTCCCCCTCCGCGAGCGACGTGTTTTATTCTTCGCGCCCTCTCTCGCATTTTTTCCGTCTGCGCGGTGCGTGCGTGCATTCGATCGCAATGATTTAACGTCGTTACGCAAGCGATTCAGCGATAGCGGCCGGCCGATCGGCCGGCTGGCTGGCTGGCCGGTGGCCGTCGTCGTCGTCGTCGTCGTCTCGCCTGTGTAATACCAGCCACCAATTGGCCGCAACTGGAAACGCCGCCGCGACGAACGTGGGATATTAATCTCCGGCTCTGGTAGCTCGGGACTTTATTACACGTCGGTGCTTTGTATCTGCACGTGGGAGAAGAACGGGAGTCGCAGTTGGACTGGACTCGCCAATTGCAAAATCGACGACGAATCGGACGGATTCCGCAGCACGCTCGCGGCCCGGCTCGTAACTCTGGCTTTAGTTCGATGGCTCAACTTGCGAATTCGCAACTTCCAATTCCGGCTGTTCGCAGTCCCTAATCAGCGGATTTTAGCCGCCGAGCCGCGCGACTCGCGCGCTGTCGCCGCTGCGGCCCCGCACGGTCGATATATATTATAAATAGCAGTGCGAAAGTCGAGAGGAATCAAACTTGAGGAATGTAAGTGGATGTTTAATTTCCGACGAAGAGAGCTCGCGGCTCGATGCTTATCGCGTTCCTACGAATGCACGTACGTAAAACGACCGCCCATGTGATCCGGGCGTAATTCATCGGCGGTGCGTCACGGCTCTCAAATAAAAGTACGCTTCTTCTTTGCTGACGGAGTCGTGGGAGATTGACGTTCGAATGGCGATCGATGATATTTCATTTCGATGATTCAGTCGCCGTGGAATTCGCCGGTCACGGGGTGGCGAAGCGATACACTCCCGAGGTACGTGACTGTATATACGCGCGGGCATTACGCGCTCCGCTCGGGGAAAAATACACAGACGTCGGGTCGACGACTGTGTGTGCGTGCGTGCGTGCGTGTGTGTGTGTGCAGGGTGAATTTATTTATTCGACAATCGAAGACGCAATCGCACGACATTGTAGCTGAATTTCTTTCTCCCGGCCGCTTCGCCGCCGCCGTTTCGACGGAAATGGATGCCGACAGCGCGGAAGAAAATATCGCATGAACGTAACTCAAGCTTTGCGCGAGTAATAATGCGCTGAAAAATGGCGAACAAAGCTCGCAGCCGTCGTGATTTCGCGAGCGTGTAATCCCCCCGCTTTGTTTCAATTGAAATGGCTTTTTCGTACAAACGCGCGCGTTAAAAAATGCATCGTGACAATTGCATTAATCGCTATTTAATTTCATCAAAATACACACCCGCGACGTCTCTCGCGAAAGCCAACGGGGACAAGGGGGAGGAAGGGCAAAACGTAGCCGCTTCCGTGGCGAATCGGCGAAGCCGATTGCGTTGCATATTCGGTGGTGCTGGTCGATGTGGACGCGGAAAATCGATGAACCGAGCGAGCTGCGCGAGAGTCACCCTCTCTCTCTCTCTCTCTCTCTCTCTCTCTGTCGCGTGTTTTTTCAAGTGCGTGCAAAAAACTGCAGCGGCTGAGAGCCACTGGGCCCGTGGAATATTTATCGCACAACCGAATCCGCCAAAGGCACACACGACGCCGACATCCTCCCGGCAAAATATCAACATCGTCGCAGCGGCGGCGCGCGCGCGCTATTAGCGCGCAGCCTAGGTTGATGGTCGTAAATCTTCGGGATTTCGTAACGGACGGATTCGGGCCGATTGCGATAACGTTTCTGGCACGGCGTAGGCGGCGTTGCGTTGCGTTGCGCTAGGAGGAGGTGCATCGTTTACGCGGCCGCCGCGCTCGCCGGCGCGGCGAGACGTTCCTCGCCTCGGCGGCGAGCGCGCGTTACACCGACGCGAAAGAATGCGAGGCCGGGGAAAAGATCGTCCTCCCCCTGATTATCGTGGCCGTCGGTGCCGAAGGTGAGGCCGATTTCGCCGGGCGTCTCAGCTGAGCAAAGATTGACATCACCGCCGCGTGCCGGCGCGCTGATTCACGACGGCGCTCGCGCGCGCGTCGCCGACGATGATGAAGGAGAAGAAGAAGAAGAAGAAGAAGAAGAAGAAGAAAGTGCTCGAGTTGATAGCGAAATGGATTCGAGTAGCCCCGACGCGGTCGGTTAGGCTGTCAATTAAAATACCAGCCGGCCGGTCTCCGGATTACGTCGGCTTTGGGCGTGCGCGCGAGCGAGAGAGGACGGCTTTGTGTATTTGCGTAGCCGATTAGTATAGACACACATCCGCTCGTGGGCGGCGCGCGAGAGAGAGAGAGAGAGAAAGAAAGAGAGAGATATGCGTCGAGTCATCGGTGAATTTTGGCGCCGACGATTATTTACGAACGTCGAGGGAGATGCGCGCGGCGGTCGCGCAACGGCGTGACGGCGGCGAATTTTGCGACGCGCACTCTTCGCGAGTATACGTGGGAAACGCCATGGAGAGTGCGTTGTTTGCACGTGTTGATAAAGCGTAATCTCGAGCGTAAGCCTCGCGCGCGGCCGTGTAAATTTGGAGACCGAAATCCCAAGCCGAAATTCAATTATATCGACTCGTCGTCCTGCGGCGCGGTGCGCGCGCGCGCGCGCGCGCGATTTTTGACAGGTCGACCCGACTGCCGCAACGAGTAACGCGATTCCGCGATATAGTAAACGATGAATAATCGAGTCCCGTC